CGAGTTGAAGATTTTGATACGCTGGTTGGTCTATGATTTGAACTCGTGTTGGACTGTTTTTATGCTAAAGAACTGAGGTTTGTGTATAAACTTATACTTGTACTCTTTTTATTTGCTGGTACATTTGAAAGTTTACTTTGGTACCTTGGTTACCTCTTGTCACTTTGCATTGTCGTATTGGTATTCTTTAATACATTAAAGATGCTTGTGTAACTCGCGCACTTGTACGGGTTGTTTGATCACTTGGCACTCTTGTTGGGACATCGTCCTTCTTGTGGCTGTGACTTTTTCACTCTTGGCATGCCTCTTAATTCGAATCATTTACCATCTTGACTCTGGATTTTTAGTCTGTCTTAAGAATGGAAGTTGTCCATCTTAAGTACGAACTAGAAAGCCATTTTTAATATGGTTCTTGGTTCTCTTAATTATTGGGTTTTGACCCTTCTTGCTACCTATTTGTGCTTGCTGTGACGACATGATGTATATATTGGGCGAGCCTTGTTGTTGAATCTCTTGGAAAACAGTGCTATGAGCGTTCTTGATACTCGAACTTGATACTCTGTATATATTGTTTACTTGAGGTATTTATTATGTTCAATTATGCTGCCCTTCACCTGAGAATGATAACTTGGCGAATTTGAGGGCTCCGAACCTATAGTTTTTACACCACTAAGCTATATTCTTAGTGATAGTTGTTTCTATCATAGGGAATGATCGAGAGGATTCTTGACGTTGGCCATTGAAGATAGAGATTTTGAAAGCTCCAAGGAGGATCACATTTGCAGATAGGCATAATATATTTTGTATAAACCTTGGGACTTGTACATAATTTATGTTTTGTATATTTACATGAGAATTTGAGGGCTTATTTGGTCATGTCACCATGGACTGTAATATAAGTATTGTCATACATTTTTATATTTTTGGGGTGTGTAAAAACCCAAGTCTTGTAATACACTAAATTTACTATTTGTTTCGAATCTTTGTGTGAAGCATGAGCAGGCTGATTTCGGTACTCGGAAGCTTGTAATGTTCTTGTTACTTCATCCTTGAGGATAATATATGTACATGAAAAGCTCGTTGGTTATTTACTTAAATTACTTTTGGGAGGTCATTATGAATCTAATCCCTCTACTAGATTATAATCAGTATGCCCTCGTTAAGCCCTTTTGAATGCCGCAAGTATAAGTTAGGTCTCTTTAAAAAGAGTCGCTACAAGTGTTGGTATCAGAGCCTAGGTTTGTGGTTCTAGGAATTTTGATTTGAATTACTTGTCTACTTGATCACTTTCGAAAAACGGTTCTATTTGTATTATTTGGTCAATTACATGGTTTATAATGTTTTTTATCGCATGTAGAGTGCATATCCATCAAGTACATATCCCTAATGCCATGTGATATTTCCTTTTGAAGTAATTAAGTCATGGCCACTTCTTATGACCGACCTATGGAAGCTGCTCGTGAAGGTTTGGGAGGTTTCCCAACCTCATGCACTGGAAGGGGTTGGAGAACATATCTCGAATCAATATATTCCCCACACTAGTGGTTCTGAAGTGGGAAACCATCATTGTGTAAGAGCTGGTCCACATCCTCACATGAGTCATGGTACTCAAACCATGAATACTCATTTTCAACAAATGGCTGAATTTTTCCACCACATGGCTGAATCGATGCATGATCCCCACGGGATTAACTTTGAGAAAATGAGGGAAATGGGTGGAGTGGAGTTTGAAGGCACTGTTGATCCCACTGATGCTGATCAATGGCTTGATCGCATGGAGAGGGTATTTGAGCAGTTAGAGTGTTCAGATGTTGTATAATTTAAGTATGTTATTTCACTATTACAAAAGGATGCTTACGATTGGTGGGTAAGTGTTTCAAATGCCACGGTAAAACCTCTTGTTCTTACTTAGGATGATTTTCTTAAGGAATTTCGTATGAAATATGTCCCACCGCTTATTGTGATGCAAAGAAAAAAGAGTTTTTGAATCTGAGGCAATGAGGCATGCCTATTGCTGAATACGAACAAAAGTTTCTAAGGCTCTCTTGCTATGCTGGTGGTATTATTAAAGAGGAAAAAGACAAGTGCAGGAAGTTTGAAGACGGTTTAAATGATTCCATTAGGAAGAATGTGGCGATCCTGCAACATGATAAATTTTGTAGGTTAGTGTCTGTTGCTTTTACTTGGGAACGACTTGATAAAGAAGAAGCTAGTAGAAATGAAAATAGATTCTGAAAGGCTAGACCAGATTTTGGGGGTCCATCCAAAAGGGGAAGGTTTGATAATTCTAAGGCTGGTAGTGATAACAGGCCACCTCAACAAAGGCAAAACAGATCAAAATTTTCTACAGCTAGCACTCCAAATTATGGCCAAGGCAAGCCTCGCGTTCCCACTTGTCCACAATGTGGAAAGAATCATTATGGTACTTGCAGGAGAACTTCTGGTGCATGTTTCAATTGTGGGAGCTTTGATCATAAAGTGAAGGATTGTCCTATTCCTAATAATGCTCCATCGTTGAGAACTGAAGGCTCAACTCATAAGCCTTCTGTCAATCTTCCTCAAACTAATAGAGGTGCAAGACCTAAAAACACCCAGGCAGCAGGTACAAGTGGAGCTAATCAAGCTAGTGGGCAAAGGGCTACTGCACGCACTTATGCTATGAGGTAGAGGGATGATCAAGATGGACAAGATGTGGTTGTCGGTAAATTTCACTTATTTGGCTTATGTGTGTTTACATTATTTGATCCTGGTTCTACACATTCCTATATTTGTTCATCACTTGTTCTTCCTGAAAATGTGAAATCTGTGAGACTTAATTACGATGTGCTGGTTGAAAGTCCTTTGGGTTATCAAGTTGTGTATAATCAACTTTACCAAGATTCTCCCTTCATGATTCAAAACCTAGTCTTCCCTTGATTTAATTGAAATGCCCTTCAAGGATTTTGATATTATTATCGGGATGGATTGGCTTTATAAATATCATGCGGTGGTAGATTGTAGGTTTAGCAAAGCATGTGACTTTTAAAGATCCAACATTTTTACACATCATTGTAAAAGGTGAAAGATCAGTGACATCTAGTTTTATTTTTGTGGCCTTGGCAAGAAAGTTGATGCGTCATGGTTGTAGGGCATACCTTGCTCACATAGTTGATACACAGTTGAAAAGTCCTTGTATCAAGGACATACATGTTGTATGTGATTTTCCAGAAGTATTTCCAGGAAACCTTCCGGGATTGCCCCCGGAAAGAGAGGTTGAATTTCCAATCGAGCTTATTCCTGGATCTACTCCTATTTCGATCACCCCTTATAGAATGGCACCAGTAGAGTTAAGAGAATTGAAAGCTCAATTGCAAGAACTACTTGAGAAAGGTTTTATTCGACCTAGTGTTTCTCCTTGGGGAGCCCCTGTTTTATTCGTAAAGAAGAAAGGTGGCACTCTTAGGCTTTGTATTGACTATAGACAATTGAACAGAATAACAATCAAGAATAGATATCCACTACCAAGAATTGATGATTTGTTTGATCAACTTAAAGGTGCTAAAGTATTCTCAAAAATTGATTTAAGGTCTGGTTATCACCAACTGCGTGTTAGAGAGAAAGATATTCCTAAAACTGCTTTTATAACTCGATATGGTAATTATGAATTTTTGGTGATGCCATTCGGATTGACAAATGCTCCTGCGGTATTCATGGATCTAATGAATTGGGTATTCAAGCCTTATCTTGATCAGTTTGTGGTTGTCATTATAGATGATATTTTAATATTTTCCAGAAGTAGTGAAGACCATGATAAACACCTCCGGATTATTTTGAAAATTTTGAAGGAGAAAGATCTTTATACTAAACTTTCCAAGTGTGAATTTTGGCTTGATGAAGTAGCTTTTCTGGGACATGTTGTATCACCTGAAGGTGTGAAGGTGGATCCTAGTAAAATACAACCAGTTGTTGAATGGAGACCTCCCAAAAGTCCGACTAAGGTAAGAAGTTTCTTGGGCTTAGCAGGATACTACATAAGATTTGTGAAAGGCTTTTCCATTATTGCCTCTCCTTTGACTAAGCTCTTGTAGAAGGAAGTAAAGTTTATTTGGGATGACAAATGTCAAGAGAGCTTTGAAACTCTCAAATCCTTGTTGACTCAAGCGCCTATACTTACTCTACCAATTGAAGGGAAAAAGTATGTAGTATACAGTGATGCTTCTCAGAATGGTCTCGGATGCATTTTGATGCAACAAGAGAAGGTAATTGCTTATGCCTCTTGGAAATTAAAACCGCATGAATTAAATTATCCTACTCATGATCTTGAATTTGCTGCTATAGTGTTTGCTTTAAAAATATGGCGGCATTATTTATATGGAGAGAAATGACATATTTTCACTGATCACAAGAGCCTAAAGTACTTGGGTACTCAAAAGGAGCGAAACCTTCGACAACCTAGATGGTTTGTACTCATCAAGGATTATGACTGCACGGTTGATTATCATCCAAGTAAGGCCAATGTGGTTACATATGCCTTAAGTCAGAAATCCTTCGCAAGCATTTCTTTGAGTCCTTTACCCTTGCTTCTTGAGTTAAGAGCCATGAAAGTTTGTTTTACACTTGATTCAGATGGTTCAACTATTTCTAATTTACAAGTAAATCCAATATTACTTGAACAGGTGAAAAAAGCACTAATGTTAGATGAGAAACTTGTAAAATTGACCAGAGAAGTTCAAAGTGGGGAAAAACTTGATTTTACATTTACGGAGGATGGTGGCTTATTTTATCAAAACAGGTTATGTGTCCCTAATGATGACAAATTGAGGAGATAAATATTGAATGAAGCACATACTTCACCATATGCAATGCATCCTAGATGTACAAAGATGTACCGGACCATCAACGAAAATTATTGGTGGAATGGTATGAAGAGAGACATTGCGGAGTTCGTCTCAAAATGTTTGGTTTGTCAACAAGTAAAGGCAGAACATCAAGCCCCAATGGGTTTAATACAACCCTTGTCGATGCCGGAATGGAAATGGGAGAGAATAACTATGGGCTTTGTTTCTGGACTTCCTCGCACTCAGAGAAATCATGATGCAATATGGGTGATTGTGGACAGACTAACCATGAGTGCTCACTTCTTATCAATCAGGATGGATTACTCACTTGAGCATTTAGCCAAGTTGTATATTAATGAGATTGTAGGACTACATGGGATCCCTGTGTCTATTGTATCAAACCAGAACCCAAGGTTTACATCTAGATTTTGGGGTAGCTTGCAGGAAGCTTTGGGTACTAAGTTGAGGTTTAGCACTTCGTTCCATCCTCAAACAGACGGCTAGTCGGAAAGAGTGATACAAATTTTGGAGGATATGCTTCAAGCTTGCATTATGGAGTTTGAGAGTAGTTGGGACAAACACTTAGCTTTGATAGAATTTGCTAACAATAACAGTTACCAATTGAGTATTGAAATGCCTCCATATGAAGCCTAATACAGAAGAAAATGTCGGACCCCTCTTTGTTGGAGTGAAGTTGGTGAAAGAAAGCTTGTTGGTCCTGAAATTGTGCAACAAATAGAGGACAAGGTACAAATTATCAAAGATCCTCTAAAAATTTCTTCGGATAGACAAAAGTTGTACGCTGATCTTAAAAGGCGTGATATTGAATATCAAGTTGGAGATAAATTATTCTTAAAGGTGACTCCATGGAAAAAGATTATGAGATTTAGCCAAAAAGGAAAACTAAGTCCCCGATTTATCGGACCTTATGAGATACTTGAAAGGGTTGGACCAGTTGCATATAAATTGGCTTTTCCACCTGAGTTAGACAAGATCCACAATGTCTTCCATGTTTCTATGCTTAGAAGATATCGTTCATATCCATCTCATTTTATTCCAGTTGAATCTATTGAGGTTAATCCTGACTTGACGTATAATGAAGAACCTATCCTAATTCAAGCTCGAGAAGTAAAGCAACTTAGGAACAAGAGAATCCCTTTAGTAAAGGTACTTTGGAGGAACCATTCTGGAAAATAAGCTACCTGGGAAAGAGAAGAATACATGAGAACCCAGTATCCGCCCTTGTTTTGGGACTAGTTTAAGGTAAATTTCGAGACGAAATTTCTTTAAGGAGAAGACACCCCTAAATGCTTAAACAAATAGTCGCATGTCGTTACATCATCTCGTAATTACTAGAATATGTTTTATTCTCATTTTTAGAACTTGAAATATTGTGATTTGCAAACTTGCTTAGCATATATTGTTATCGTAAATTAATGTATTGTATGGGGGTATTTCCGTAATTATCTAATAATACTTAATTATACATTGAAAGTGTGGGTATAAAGTACATAAATATAGTCATATATGTATGGTTTTTGGGCAGCCATCTATTTGTTTGGGCAGCCCCTTTTGGTGGCATCTGCCCATGTGACAAGGATAACTTTTGTAGCTATATATCTTTACACCTCCTTTGATTTAATTCCTTTTCCCTCAAGTCTAAAAACATTAAAACATTAGCTAAACAGTTGTTATTCAAAATCAAGAGAAAAACTAAGTCCTATTGGCTGGAATCCGAAACACACACACTTCCTTTTGGTAAGTGAAGAAATCTGCTTCTGAGTTGGGTAGTGTTTGGTATTTTATGCATATCTCATTCAAAAGAACTTAGTTTATAGTGAATAAATATGTTTTGGAAAGCTAATTCGTCGACCTACAACCCTTATGGTTATGTAAAATTCTAATTTAGCTGTTATCGATACGAAATAAGGGACGTAACATACGACAAGTTCTGTTCATATTCTGGAATCAGAAATCATGTACGTTCAACTGTTGGTGTTTTGATTATATCTTTTTGTACAAAACATATTTTGCGGTGATTCATGATTATTTGCAAGCTTAAGAGATGTACCTACATCTTTTATGTAAGATATGAATTCCATTTTGGCCGTTTTCTGTTTCAAATCTATGTTGCGACATGTAGTGCGTTTATTGGGCAGAATATTTGTTTTGGGATTATAGTCATTTTGTACAGGCTAGGCTTACTTGTGATGATAACCCTGTGTTACGCCATCATTATTGAGCTACTAGAAACTAAATAAGTTATTAAATTCATTTTTTAAGGTTGTATATCCTCGTGTACGAGTTGAAGATTTTGATACGCTAGTTGGTCTATCATGTGAACTCGTGAAGTCGTGTTGGACTATTTTTATGCTAAAGAACTGAGGTTTGTGTATAAACTTATATTTGTACTCGTTTTATCTGCTGGTACATTTGAAAGTTTACTTTGGTACCTTGGTTACCTTTTCTCACTTTGCATTGTCGTATTGGTATTCTTTAATACATTAAAGACGCTTGTGTAACTCGCGCAGTTGTACGGATTGTTTGATCACTTGGCACTCTTGTTGGGACCATGTCATTCTTGTGGTTGTGACTTTTTCACTCTTGGCATGCCTCTTGATTCAGATCATTTACCATCTTGACTCTGGATTTTTAAGCCGTCTTAAGAATGGAAGTTGTCCATTTTAAGTACGAACTAGAAAGCCATTTCTAATATGGTTCTTGGTTCTCTTGATTATTGGGTTTTGACCCTTCTTGATACCTTCTTGTGCTTGGTGTTACGACATGATGTATATATTGGGCGAGCCTTGTTGTTGAATCTCTTGGAAAACTGTGCTATGAGCGTTCTTGACATTTGGATCTTTAAATATCGAACTTTATACTCTTTATATCTTTTAACTTGATTTATTTATTATGTTCAATTATGCTGCCCTTTACTTGAGAATGATAACTTGGTGAATTTGAGGGCTCCGAACCTATAGTTTTTACACCACTAAGTTATATGCTTAGCGCTAGTTGTTTCTAACGTACGGAATGATCGAGATGATGCTTCAAGTTGGTCATTGAAGATGGAGATTTTGAAAGCTTTAAAGAAGATCACATTTGCATATAGGCATAATATATTTTGTATAAACCTTGGGACTTGTACATAATCTATGTTTTGTATATTTCCATGAGAATTTGAGGGTTGATTTGGTCATGTCACCATGGGCTGTAATATAAGTATCGCGATATGTTTTTATCTTTTTGGGGTGTGTAAAAACCCAAGTCTTGTAATATACTAAATTTACTATTTATTTCGAATGTTTGTGTGAAGCATGAGCAGGCTGATTTCGGAACTCGAAAGCTTGTAATATTCTTGTTACCTCATCCTTGAGTGTGAGGATAATATATGTACATGAAAAGCTCGTCGGTTATTTGCTTAAATTACTTTTCGGAGGTCATTATGAATCTAATCCCTCTAGTAGATTATAATTAGTAAGCCCTCGTTAATCATTTTTGAATATCGCAAGTATAAGTTAGGTTTCTTTAAAAAAGGTCGCTACAGCTGAGCCCTGAAGGAAAGGATCAGGTCGGCGGAAAAAAGGAGCAGTCGGCGCATCACTGAGAAGTTCTGCGAAGAAATACTATGTCTCCCAATGACCCAGAGTACGACGATGCCAAAGGATGGTGCGAAACGGCGATGAACTAGACCAAAGGGCGAATCACCGAGTTGATCGGCAATTTCGACTAATGTCGCCGAATGGTCCACTGCAACACAACTTTTTTGAAAACTATAAATACTCGTTGAGAGTTATAACTAAGTATCAGATTTTTAGTGTGAAAAATAATAATTATTATTTTCATGTAGAATAGTACTTTTTATTTTTGCTTTGAATTTGAGATTGTTTTGAAAACTTGAAGAATGAGAGGGTTTCATCTCCAAGGATTTGAACTTGGGTCTCTTGATTTCTTCATTCTTGGCTTGTAACAAGACTTAAATCTTCATACCCATTTGAATGCAAGCTCATTTAGGTATACATTTCTATCTCTTGATGTGTGTCTAAAAACCCCCATTCTTAGGGTGTGACTTAGCGAATATGGGTTAATATTGTTGTTGGGTCTTGCTTGTTGATAGATTAAATGTAGTTTAATGGTGATTTCACCCAGTAGTTGTGGTTGAATTTAATGGGTTTGTAGTTGCAAATACAAGTCCACCCATGTGTTTTCGGGTTGCTCGAGAGAGAGGTCGTGAAACCAAGACTGCTAGACTGATGACCAAAGGAGTGGGTCGACATGAGGTTCAGCCCGAGAGGGTTAGCCCTAGTCCCATATCCTAACACTCAGCTCGAGAGAATGAGTGGGGTAATGCGTAGGCTTGTCTTCATGCGGCAAATGGGTGTCCGAGAGGAACCCATTTGAAACGGGGTAAGTTCCTCGAGAGAGAATTTATTCCCACGTATAGCTTAGCCTAGTCATTATTACTCTCTAAATTCTCTATTGAAATCATGTACCCAATAATTTAGATTAACCCGTATTCCGGTCACATCCCAAGAATCCCCCTCTCATTGTTAGATTTTCTTGTTGATTTCGCTAATTTTAGCTTACTCGTGACAAAACCCCCAAATCGATATTTGACACTTTTGTGTCCCCCTTTAATTTACAATGTTTTTAATCGTTAATATCTTTAGCTACGACTAGTTAGAATTAATTTTTGGTTTTTCTATAAATTCTCAAACCACTCCCTTGGGACGATCCCAACCCTCGGTTGGGTTACTATATTATCGACAATTGTAGACACTTGAATCGGAAGTAGTGTCATTGGTCACGATAAGCATCACCATCCCTCCATCGTCACATTCCCTTGTTCTCTTTGGTTTCAACTGAGCTGATAGTAAACTCAGTTGTCCTTCGAGTGTCTCTATGGCGTCGACATGAGAGTTTACTCTACTGTTCAATGATGAAAAGTCATCTTTCATCCCTTTCAACAAATCATTCGAACCTTCAATTTTGTCAAGTATGCGTGACAACAAGTCATTCACCCGAGGACTACTTGCACTCCCTTTTGATTTTGGGCTTTCACTTGACTGAGTATGGTTCTCCTCATAATCATCTTCCCTTCTCCAATAATCATTTTGCTCAGCCCAATGTTGATAGTATCTCTTTTGTTCTCCTCCCTTATGATAGTTCCAACCTTGATTTCCGCCTCGCTATAGATAGAGTGGCTGGAAACCCTCCTCATACCTCTTGGAGTTCCAACCTTGATTCTCCCCCTGCCTTGAGTAACCGGAAGAAGAACCCTCCTCAACTCTAAACACTTCACATGTCCCCTTCATGTTCTCTTGTAGTACTTCCATTTGAGTTTTTGATGTTCTCATCCCTCTTCGTGTCTTTATCAAGTTGCTCTTCTGTTAATCAAAAATGAAAAGGAAAGTCTTGATCCTCTTGGGTGTACCATGCTTGGTTTATCCTAGTCATGTCATCCAGAAGAAACGAAGCTACATCAAATGGTGGTAACATTATTCCTCCTCGTACCAATTGATCAGCCACTCCTTTATTAACCGAATCTAGACTCCGGTAGAAATATTGAAGTAACAAATCATTTGGTAGCCCATGATTTGGGGATTTAAGTAGGAACTTCTTGAATCTCACCCACGTTTCATAGATAGGTTCCCCCTCCCGTCGCTTGAAACTTTTAATTTCGTCTCTAAGTTTCATCATCCTTGATGGAGGAAAGAATCTTGTGTTAAATGCTATAACCAGCTCCTCTCATGATGTGATGGAATTGTTTGGTAACTCAGCTAGCTTCTCCTATTAAGGACAGTGGAAATAACCGCAATCGAATTGACTATTGAGACACATTTTTGAATGAAAATGGGCTGCAAACCTCAGTAAAGTTTCTCACATGCTCATGCGAGTCTTCGTGATCTAGCCCTCAATATTGTCCTCTCATTTGGAAAAGATGAAAAGTTGTGTTAGTGACTTCAAACATCGCATTCTCATCAGTCAGTGGGATGCAAATTGCACCCATCCCACCCGATTGAGCTGGGTTGTAGACACTATTGATGTCGTCTATACCCTCTCGATGACCTGCTTGGCTGTCATTCATCTCTTCCTCACTTATGTTCACTTCTACGTTGTCCAACCAATACCTACACAAAACAGCCGAAACTACTTCAACTACAACCAATGAATTTGAGAGTGTCAAATCTTCAATC